AGCTATAACAGTCCGAGCCCGACCCTGCTTTGTTTGAATCGATACTTTTGTTGTAAATGCCCCTTACTCGGGTTCTGAGGGAGTTTTTTTGGACCCATATCGCTCGTGTTGAGAAACTTGACTCCGATATGTTCCTCGTTTTGACTTGGTTATGTCTGTTACACTTATACCCACTTATATCAGTTACACTCGTCAGTTCCCGCGTTTTTTAATGAGTTTAAACCCAAGTAACAAGCTTTTTTTATTACTGCGAAATAGTTTTGACTAAAACCACGTTGAACTTGTCTTCGCAAGTGTTCTTTGTAAACTTGACAAATGCGTTTATTACCTACTGCAGCAGAGTGCAATTACATACAATAAATACGCTACGCAAATGTTTATAACAAGCTCGGCTTTCAAAAAAAAATGCAAGTGGCGTTAAATCTCACTGAAAGTCGGAAAATAGATTAAACATCGTCTGAAGACTGACATTTTGTTTCCTAAGCCGATTTCCTCTTCTGATGTAAATGACTACTGACTTCCTAGATGGACGTATAGTGTACATCGTAGACGGCATTTAATTCTCAGGAGCTGGTGCCAGCGACATCATTCAGTGCATGGTCCGTGTGACAAATACTCAAGCATGGTTCTTACAATTTTGTACTAACGAAAACTCGAGTAATGGAATAAGCTTATTCGTAATCATCCGTCGCTGCCATCCATAAAATGAGTTTAGACCCCAATTTTGGACCTTGAGCCGATCGACCACAGATCAGTCTTTGCGCCCCTGTCTTCATGAGTTTGGACCGATTTAAGGAAAAAGCTATGTTTCCGTTGTGCATTTTATGAGTGGAGTTACCCTATACGCTAACCTTTAAGTCAGCCACCCGAGGAAATGATTCACTGTCTCAGCTGGCGGGTGCAAATAGAAATGTTTTTCGCATTCCGCAACAACCTGATGCTGCTCTTTGGATGCGTCTCAGCTAAACAAGCTTTGGCATAAATAAATGCTATTTTGTCCTAATCTGCCGAGTTGAATGAATCTCATTGTGCGCAAAATAGTGAAAACATTGACCATAGATCCGCAATTAAATGAAAAGGATTAAGACCAACCAATCTCCTAACTGCTTGATTTACGGGACGTCTGGCGGAAGCCATGATTTATGAAATCTACCCAGAAAACACCAAATGACAATCAATCCCAATTTAACCGGATGATTTGTTAGCTGTAAACACTCGTCACTGAGACTCGATCGAATAGAAAAATAGACAAGACAACACAGACTGAATGGGTAATTTGGCTGAACGTAATAAAACTCAAGGCTTTCTGTTGAGGCCCTCTAGGTCGTGCAGTCAACACACTAACTTGTCTTTTCTATTTTAGACATAAACGCCCTACCCCCGGCTGCAATGGTTAAGGTTTGCATAATGAGGAAGTGGCGCAGTTTTCTGATCTCACAAACTATTAATACTGCGAGTCTGGTCAGGTGGCAAAGTGTGGCTGATCACGATTCCAACGTGCTTTACATTTCAGAACAGTTTAATATGGACAACTAGCCGATATTTGCCACTTTGAATGAAGAGCTGGAGTGACGCAAAAGTTGACTTGGTATAAGCACGAACATTACGACAAGATGCTACGGCATTTAGAACTGGAAATTCGCGTTTTAACTGTAAACGACAATTACATCCCATGTTGAACAACCTGTGGTAAAACATAAGTGCCCCGGGGGCAAGATCAGTTTATGGCGGGCGTTATTAGGGTTGCACTCCCATAACAAATGCTAGGTATGGGGTGGCGTGGCGGTGTGGCAGCCTGAATTCGGTAGTGCTGCGCGTATTCACCCCCTCCTCATTTTCCAAACCTTTGTCTAATCGCGCGTCCAGTGCTGACTCATCCTCTTATCTCTGCGTGCTCTTGCCGTTTTGCGCCCCCGCTGTCGACATGCCAGCGCCCGGAGAAAATCGATTCCTCGCGAGTTCTGCCGCCAATGCTTGCACTCTTTCCTGATTGCACTGTTGAGAGCATTTTAATTAAAAGCAAGCATGTCGTTTGATCATTTTGTCTAATTGCGTCTTAGTGGAACGTCCAACATTACATTGGTTCATGTTACAGATGGATTTGCCTGGACTCGTTTGCTCTGAGATAAAGTCAAATGCTTTGTCTACAACACTACTATGAAATATAATTTCGCAAATGCACTTTTTCCTCCGCACTTTCCCTGGGGAAATCCATGGGTTCATTGACCTACCCCTATGTATATTTGTTTATTGAATTGTAATACTGCAGAAGCAGCACCCCTCTTTTTGGATAGTTCCATCTAGACCAGGGGTCGGCAGCCTTTTTAACTCAAAGAGCCAAAAAAGCAAATATTTGGGAATATATTTCAGTGAGAACCTTATAGTATATGTTAAGATGAAATTGAATTAAATGCGAGTACAATAAGCCACTGAATTTATTCTTTTAAACAATGTTCTTATAATACTCATTTTAATGCGACTTCTGGTGCTGTATGGATTCGCTGGTCAGCCTTCAGGTCAGCCAATTCTTCTTCGAAATATCTAGGGGAAACACCATAAATATAACTTATGTCAGCTGTGTTCAGTGAACACTGGGTTGGATGGGTGATGAAATCAATAGAACGAGTGTGCTCTCGAAATTCTCTAATGCGTGCTTTGAGCGACTGTAGGAGACCGGATGTGAAGCCAACTAGCTAGTGGAGATAAC